GACCTGTTGTAGATGACATCTGACCTGTTGTAGATGACATCTGACCTGTTGTAGATGACATCTGACCTGTTGTAGCTCAAAGCTATACGATGGATTATATGCGATATGTTCATCGCGGTGGAATCGAACCTTGGCTTTTAGTGTTTTAAGTCCGTAAGCTTACCGCTGACCCACTGGCAGACCAACTGTTCTGAAAGGGTGGGGGTATGATAATTTCATTAGTTGCTTAATTTGCTCTAGATTTACAAATTTCAGTGTAACTACAAAAATTAAGTTATATTTTTTAAACTCCTGTAGCTAAGACGACAAGTTTTAGGTTTCAAATTTGTTTGTTCTGGTTAAACTCCGAAATGTAATATCAGTTTAATTGCAATTGCTAAATATAACGATAATTAAACAGATAAAACACAAAACAGTAATCATGGGGAGAAACTACAGCAAGAAAACACAACAAAAAAAGGGAAAATCAGTAATACGAACATATTAAAAAATGTATAATTTAAATGAAGATTGCATGTTGTTCAGTGTTGGAGAATGTTGTAATTATTGATTAAAGAAACCCTCCACATCAAACAACACTCTCCAACACTGAACAACATGCAGTCTTCATTTAAATTATACATTTTTTAATATGTTCGTATTACTTGTTTTAATTATCGTTATATTTAAACAATTGTTCTTTGACAATGTCCAAAGACTTATGTAAATTTATTTTATTTAATTGCAGTTCCGATAATCATTTTTACCTTCCGTTTTAATTACTCCCCTTATGCGTGTTGCGGAAATGTTCTGAATAAAAATATAAACTAAACATGCCATCACCACCTGTGTAACTGATGAGTTCAGGCTTTTTTAAAGTTGTTTTTTATTCTTGTAACAACTACATATTACTGAACGTGAAGACTGGGCGACTTCTTGTGTGACGTGTTCTGTAAAGACAAGAGCGCTCGTGATACCGCGCGCGCTTTCAGCAAGTTTGATTCATTATCTTGTGTTAGTTGGAAACATTGAAGTGAACCTTATAGCAGCATCTCGACGTGTTTGTTCTTCTCTCGTTTTTCTTTTTTCTTCTTCTTTTTGCATGATTCAGATTAATTATAATTTGGTTTCTTCTTTCCCCAGTTTCTTTTATTTTTTCACTAAACTTTTATACAATGCATCGTCCGTCGTATTAAACTGTTTTCTGGAAATACTATCTTCGTCGTTGGTAATGATAAGAATAAACACCAGTGGCGCTGTCACCGTTTCTGACGTGAACCTGCAAGTTCTATTACGTCACCCTTGTTTAATTTGTAAGTAGTTCGAGCACGTGCGAGTTGCCCTTGTTTACCTTAGATATCAAGATTTTCGTATCAGAAGCTAACCTGTTGAAAACTAACAAGTAACGGTGGAAAATACCAAACGTATTATGGATAACTTCACTATGACAGGACCAGTTTTTTTCGTGTGTGTATCTAGGGGAAAAACCGCTAAAGCAAATCTATCGTGTTGACAAGGGAGGGCCTCAATTTTTGTAAAACCTTAGGGCACGACTTTTACTGTGTTCGTCTTTATAAGAACTGTTAATGACCAGATTAACAATTAAAATACCATCTTAAAACGATGTAAAATTATACCAGCACTCTCAAGAGAAATAAAATACTAGAATATATATTCCAAAATATTTCTAAATTTAGAATTTAATTTCGTACTTTAATTTTTAAACCTACTTGCAATTATGACATCATTTCATCTGATGTTATTTTTATTCCTCATTATTATTATTAGATCGTGTTATACATCAATAAATATGTTTCTCTGGTATACAAACAAAACCTCTATTAACGGTATATATTAGTTACCGTTTTTGGCATGGAAGCAAATTGTAAGCCTCATTTTGACGTTTAACGTTTTTAGCTGACAGTGTAAGTACGTTTATTTATCAGTCTTGTAAGATTTCAGATAAGAATACAACTTTGCAATACACTTAATTTCCACAGTCGCGCTATAACAAACGCTATAATTCACAACGACCGTCTCACGTGTTCGACTCAACAATACGTCTCTCTCTCTGTCCGAAGTT